TGATATGGAGGTTCCCTGTAGAAGTAAAAATAGAACTAGCATACAACCCAGCTACATGACTCCTTGGCATATACCTGAAGAAAGTAAAGACAGAACACTATGGAGATACCTGACTACTCATGTTTATTGCAGCACAATTCACAATAGCCAAGATATGGAACAGTTAACTGCCCATCAACAGATGGATGGATAAAGAAATTGTGGGGTGTAATAAACAATGGAGTATTATTCAATCACAAAGAAATTTTTCCATTTGCATGAAAATGAATAGAGCTGGAGATCATGTTACTGTAAATGAAATAAGCCAGACTCTGACAAGTACTATGTGTTTTCCCTAATGTACGGAACTTACAAAAGATTACATGAAAGTACAAGGCAGACTATTGCTGTACTGAAGGAAAGGAATAAGGGAGCAGGGAGGGAGGTATAAGGGATGGTAATGGAGAAGATGGAAACAAAGTTATCAATTATATCAGGAACAGATCATAATGTTGACATGAATTTACTGAGGTGAAAAGGTGTCTGCTACACTCCCTCAGGTGAATCAGCAGGTAACAAAATGTTATATATGGCATTGTCAGTTTTTTATTTTAAAAAATGCAGTAATGTAGAGAGAAATCAAGGAATCATCTAGAATGGTGTTCACTTAACTGTTTCAATCTGTCTATGGGAGCGAGATGCTGAGTACTTTTTTCACTATAAAAATTTTAAAACTATTTCCAAACAGAGGAAATTGTGAATTGTTATAAAAGGTGTAGATCTGTTAATTAGCTTGGTTGTAGCAATCATTTCACATGGTACACCCATCTCTAAACATGAGTTGTATACTTTAAATATACATACATGATTTTGTCAGTTATACTCAATGAAAAGAGAGAGCATTTCTATGCTCACTGTCATGAGGAAGCATATTGGAAATGCTCACCATGGTGACTTTTATCTCTACAGGTAAAGTTGGCATTGGAAATTCAGCTTTAATAAGAAATTTATCCTTCTTATAATTTAAATTAAAAATTAATTGAAGGGGAAGTTTATAGGATTTTTAATTAAGTAGGCCCAAATTCCAGATCTAAAAAAAAAAAGCCCTTGAGGCATAATTTTTGCATGAAGATCCTTAATTATATATGTGCATCTTTCATGTGAGTTAAAGTGTTGCATGAAGGAGTTTGGACTGAGAACAGACATGACCTCTTTTCGGACCTGAAAGGATTCTGGCTGCCGTGCTGTGAATAGACCACAGGAGACCGAAGTGGAAGTGGGAACCCGATTTGGGCAGTATTTCAGTATTCTAGACAAGACCGCAGAGCCTCTGACCAGGACGGTAACAGTGAGGATGGGGATAAGTGTTCAGATTCTAAGCATCTTTTAAATGCTGGAGCAGTGGAACTTGTGGGCTTGCTCGCAAGGTGGATATGAAAGAAAAAGCAGAATGAGTCCAGGATGACTCCTCTGGAAGAGTCCAGTAAAATGTCTTAATTCCTTGATGGAGGATGAGACCAAGGACAAGGGAGTTAATTTCTAATGCTCAAAACATGCATGCATCAAGTTACATAAATGATTACAAAGTCTTTGTGATAGGTAACCTTGTGTCAGCTTGGCTGGATTGAGAAGTGTCTAGGATACCAATAAAACACACGTTGCATGTAGGTAAAGACGTTTCCAGAGATGAGTGGCATTTAGGTCACTAAACTGAGTGGAGAAGACCTGCCCAAAATGTACACAGCGTTGTCCAATAGGCTGGGTGGCCTGTGGGACACCAAGTAGAAGGGGAAGCTCACATATACACCCACACTCAACTGTTATTGGGCAGGTGCAGTTTTTGCCAATGATATCGCCCAGGGTCATCAGACCCCAGATTCTTCAGCCTTTGAATACAGACATGGTTGATCAGGGAATTTTCAAGCTTGCAGCCTTGAACTGGGGCTGCATTCTTGGTTGCTCTTGTTCTGAGGTTCCCAGCTTCTTGGACTGAGCAGGTACAGGTTTACCTGGCTCTCCAGTTGCAACATTGTAGTGGAAGTCAGCCTTGATTGTGAAAGACAATTTAATAAATCCCCTTATATATTCTATTGGTTCTGTTCCTCTGGAAAATCCTAATACACTCAGGGTGCTCCCCCCCCGTGATTAAAAATTAAGGGAGAAAAGTGATAAAATGTACCCTAAATTCTCAGGGGAAAATACCTGAGTCCTAAGCACTTTCCTGTGACATGGTCACCTCACATGCACCGCTTTTGCCACCTAATGATTGCCTTATTTGGGGATGCATTTCATAATCAGTCTTATCTATCCATGAGGAGAAAACTGACCCTGACTACGTACTTTCATGCCACCTGCACGTAGAACTTACTAGTTAGGCTAAGGGCTTACGTGACAAATTATTTCTCATTCTGGAGATCAGGACTTCCAAGATCTAGGTATCAGTAGATTTGGTTATCATGAGTGGCTCTGGCCATAGATCCTTCATGGTGGGAGTGAGAAAAATCGTGCTTCTAAAAAGGGCAATCCCATTTGTATTTAGGGTCTAATGACTTCTCAAGGGCCCCAATTGTTAATACCTTAACGTTAGACATTAAATCTGACATAAATTTGGGGAGTGGAGACATTTAATCTACATCATCGAAGGACAATTTGTTATCCGGAGGTAACATTTGCAGTCTATTAACCAGACTGGCAAGACTGAGTAGGGAGTGGAACATTCAGTGTGTACCTAGTCAGGCTTAGCTTTCATAAACCAGTGACTCTCTATCTCAGGTACACCTACCTTTGTTTAATACATAGCACCTATATAATTTGTGAAAGTAGAATTACCTGTAGAGAACAGCCTTAATAACACTCAGACAATCAATTGCTCTGGAACCCTTTTTTTTTTTTTGGCTTGGACAAGCCTTGAAGGAATCGTTTACTGAAATTACAGTACTCTGAAATTTCTAAAGATTTTCCTTTATGGTAGTGCCCTATTTTTTTTTGTTGGACAAGCCTTGAAGGAATCGTTTACTGAAATTACAGTACTCTGAAATTTCTAAAGATTTTCCTTTATGGTAGTGCCCTTCAACGTATCATTGGCCTATACTACACCAAGAAACTAGTCATTTTACCTCTAGTTATGGCAACGTGTACTCTTCCATTACACCGTCTTCATTATAAAGCTCCATGGAAGGGTGCCTGGCCTTAGTGTCAATAACTAACACACCTTCTAAATTATGTCTTACTTTGTGGAAACTGATCTGTGCAAGTGAATAGTCCTTCTTTCCAAAGAAAATGAATGGCCAAGAATTGAATCTGCTGCCTAATCCTAGTAAGTGTCCAAGTTATTATAGCATGAATTTTAAGTATATCCTTGGGCTTTATCCTATTTACTGATTTTCCTTTTCAACTATTACTTCCTTCCTTCTTGCTATTCTATTGTTTCAAGCTATCTTTATGAGAGGAACAGGGGACAAAATAGTAAATCTTGGGCTCAAGGTGGACACAAGAATAGGACAGGAGGAAGAAAAAAATATATTATAGAAAGTTAAAAAGCCTTGTAATATAAAAGTTATAAAATGTAGTAAAATAAATGGACATACTAGGAAATGCAAAATGTCCTCAGAATAATGTGTTCAATGGAATTTGATCCTGTCTTTTTACTAAAAATCTTTCCCGAGTACAAATTTCCCGAGTTATCTAATGAATTAATATCATTTGGATTTAAAAATGTAAAAAACTATGTTTATCATCTAAGTAAATTACAGTGCACCTTTGTATGAGCAAAATGGGATATGTCTGGAATTTGTTTTAACTTATGACCTAAATCTTGAGTTACAACTCGAATGCTGGTCTTTCCTGTGTGGGCTTGAGAAATCCTGGGCCATTGTCTCTCTAAGGACACCAAGATCTGCCTGGAAGAAAGTGTGGCCTAAAATTATACAGGAGACTTTGAAGGCTGTGTAGAGGAGCTGGAGCCTCTGATTGACCTTTGGTTAATGACAATGTCACTGTAGCAGAGTCCATAGGTTTGCAGGTAGACAGTGGTGATGCTGAGGAACACTTAGAGGAACTTCAGCAACTTCTGGCTGAGCAACAGAGAATGGCAGTTGAGGAGCTTTCTTTAGAGGGGTGAGTATCACAATTAGTGCAGCAAAATTCTTCTGAAATAAAGGAAATCCTGAAAAAAATGGACAGAGCTACAAACATCTATAGAGAAGACCCACCCAGATAGAGAAAAAGCCAATCATTGCATTCATTTGCTTAATGACAATGTCATGTCACACTACAGAACAGTGCTAAAGACAGAAACAGACAACCTTAGGCCAGTTTTTAGTTCTGGGAAGGTTGAGCACCACTGAGCCAGAAGCAGGTTCCAGTGAACTACACTCTCCCAAGCAGATAAAGGATACCAGAGCCAGATTCCTGATGAAATTACGGAAGGGGACTGTCCTTCCAAACAATACCCACCTTCTGTTTCATCCTCCTTTCCTGCAAGCCAAAGATGTCAACTTGAATGGTGAGTACAGTATGAAAGTATTGTTTCTGGTAAACTAGGCAATTTTATCTTTTTTATAAATATACTAGGAAAATTATTGGTGTTTCTGATAAATTATGTATATTATACAACCCCTTTTTAATTATGAAAAGGTTAAAGGGTGCTTTGGGAGATTTGGAATGCATTATGGGTACTGTCATTATTCATTATGGGAAAAATAGTCTTGGCTTACAACCAACTGGAGTTACAATTAGCCCTTGCAAACAAATTGAAAACATTAAGGGTCCACTGTAGTCCATATAAAAGTGAGTTCCTCCAATTTAACAAGAAAAAGGGAACAAAACCTATTCTGACCTGACTACCATCTTAAAAATACCAAGTATTCAAAAAACCTATTTCTGTGTTACTTAAATGAAAATATTTGTGTTAAGTATTGCAAACAAACACAACCAAAGCAAGACAGGCAATTTTTGCTATAAATTTTATTTATTTTTGTTCTGGAAATTTTATGTTTATATTTCCTTAAAACCAGACACTGTAATAGAAAGACATTATTAATTCAATGAACCTGTATATAAACACTTTTAGAGTTTACTCATATATTCTTCAAATTATCTCACATATAGTGGTATATAAATTATACTTTATACTGGTGAGCAAAAAACAAGCCCAACAACATAAAAAACAAAGCCTTCTCGTATTTTAGGAGTAAGTTTTACTGTGAAGTTACTCTTTTAACATCTTTGCTGTCAGTTTTGGGTGAACCAGGATGGCCGCTTCTTGTCTCGCTCAATGATCCTCTTGCCCTGATCATGTGGAGATGGTGTTTCTCCTGTGTACAAGACCACAGTCTCTGTGGGTGGAGCTTTAAATGGGCCCCCTTCTTGTTTCCCTATGTGTAGTCTGATTTCTGCAGTCTCCTTGCGCACTTTCTCATAGCAAAAGCCACAAAGGACATGTTTCAATTTTAGGTGACCACATTCTGGACAAACGTCGATATTATTCTTTAAAAAAACCAACGAAAACATTTATTAACATGAGGCAAATGATGCACAAATAATCCCCATCAACAATGATGTTCACAGTTTAGCTTTCTAAGAATGTTCATGTTACATCACCTAGATTCAATCTCACTTTGATTTTTTTTTTTTCTTTTTTTGAGACAGGGACTCATTATATAGCTCAGGCTGGCCTCTGACTCAGCAATCCTTCTGCCTCAGCTTCCTGAGTGCTGGGATTACAGGTGTGTGCCATCATGCCCAGCTTTCAACCTCACTGTAATAAAGAAACTAAAAATAAGCAACACTGACTTTGAATTAGAAAAATTAGGACTAGAATTCATGTTTACCAACTTTATCCCTGGCCTCTTACATTTGGTTCTTAAACACAGCAGTCATCTTTCCTCTAACTGCAAATATCTAATAAAGAGTCCATCAGCATAGTGGGGTGATCTATACAGAGAGCATCTCCTATAAGACGCCAAGGAAAAGTAAATGCACTTGCAAGCTACCTTGAGAAAAATAAGATAACAAGAATATTACAGGCTGGAGTCCTGTGATTTATTAATGTGATTCAAATACTTACTCAGAATATAGGTTTGGTAGATGGCACAATTTTTTAATTCTAATCTATTGCTCCTTAATAAAACTCTTGTGATGTTACAATTTGCAAGTATTTTAATATACGTTTAACCAACTTTAACTATAAGAGAATTATAGGTTCTAAAAATTTTCAAGGTAGACTTGAAAAAAATACAAAGAAAAAGAATAAAACAAGAACATTGAAGCTTCAATTCTTCATAAGATTAATATACTAACGTGTGAGCTGATAGCAAACAAATTTCATTTTCTGAAAGGACAAAGAATCTTGCTAATTACTGGCCTCATCATATTCTCATTTTACTTTACTGTAGTGGATTGCATGTCCAGCTAAAGGTATGAAAAGATAACCAGTCAGTGTTTTCATGCTCAAGGTACCCAGCACATACAGTAGGACATGTAGCAGAAAATAACTTACAAAAGAAAATGCATACATAAGAGCAGTCAAAAACTCAAGTAACTGATTGTTGCAAGATCTCATTTCGAAGATCCTACACTTGATCTTAGCCAAAAGGCCGAGAAGCGATCATTTCTAAGATCCTAAATCCTCAAGATCAAATTTTATGGAATCTTAAGTAAAATGCTGTTCAGTTCCAGATTTAACTGGCAGCCCCTAATGTGACTCAGAAATACTTTTTGGTTTAGGTTCTGAGGGTTTAAATGTGAGTGCAGAAACTCAGTTCTTGAGTTTCATCCACATGGAGCTGCTATGGTGGAATGCCGTGAAGTAAGCAAGAATTGAAATGTTGGGCCGGGATTTAGCTCAGTGGTGCCGTTGCCTGCCTTGCAAGTCCAGGGTCCCAAGTTTGATACCCGGTACCAAAAACAAAAACAAAACAAAACAAAACAAAAACAAAACAAAACAAAACAAAAAAGAATTGAAATGGTAACTGTTATAGCTATAAATTAAGACTATAACTACTACAACTTTTTCAATTAGATCAATGAGCAGAATTCATCTGTATTAGAGGGTAGGTGAACCCAGAATTGTCTGGGCACACAAAGAAAAGTTTTAAGAGAAGAATATGAGTTCAAAAATCAGACTGCCAGGAATCAAATTTTGGCTTTTCCACTTAACAGTTCTGTGACCCCAGACAAATTCTTTTGGCCTTGATTTTTTTCAACCTATAAAATGAAGAAAGTGGTATTTACTTTGGAGGACTCGTGTGAGACTATGATGGGACAATGCACATGTTTCAGAGGCTAGGACTGTCCCTCACAGTATTTTATTGGATGTGGTAAAGAATACATGAAATATATAAGGACTAGTAAAATCTCAGATCCAACATGCTCACTACTTCTGACTTTAATTTCAGTATTACCACAGTAAATATGCTTAACCATTTGTGATTCAAAATCACTTACTCTGTGACTTATACAGTTCATAATTTAAAAGTCACACAGGCTCCGCAACCTAGTCCTCTGTCAAATCTCCAAACTTTTTCTTTGACTGTTTTTAGTATTTGGGACAGAGGAGAGTAGACATACATGATGAGTTTACTATATTTTAGTTAGGGCAGAGAGTAGACAAGTAAGATGTGAGAATAATTCATCCATAGGCTATATATATAAATATACTATGACAATATTTGATGCTGTGGACCTGAGGAAAAGCATACTCATAAAAATGAATACATTACCTTAACTTTAATAAGTTTCTGAGAGTTTCTTCTTCTACACCGGTTAACTTCAATACTGCGTCTGTGTTTGGGAGCTGCCATCCAAAATATACCATCCAGGAGGCTGGAATTCTCCTTACTTCCACTGGTATCTTTTGCTGGCTCTGTAAGTAGCCCTGGACCCTGGACTGCTAATGCTGGTCCTACAAAATAAAAGATGAAGATACAGGATGAATTTCCAGCTCCTAAATGACTGTTTACAAATATCATTCTCCTTAACAATGAATATGATATGTAAAGACACACCACACACACACACACACGCAGATACACATATACACAGACAGCATGTTAAATTCAGTAGACATTTAACAGACAATGTAGCCATTAAAATCTATAGTACTAGAGCTAATATAAAGGCATTTCTGAAGAACACAAAGAGAATTTTTTTCTTAATGGAACTTGCTGAAATGAGTGAAATTCTAGTTTCTTTCCTCATGAAATACAAAACTCAGGGGTTTAGTAGTGAACATGAATAAAGTTTGACAAGTGCATAACTTTAAAAAAAAATCATTCAACTGTCCACATTTTACTTGGTAAATAGCATCTACTTAAGGTACAAGTAAATCTAAGATTGACATTTCATAAATGTACTTCTGGATCTGCTGCACTGAGATCATTCTGTACTGGCTTTTTTTTTTAATTATTCAGTTCTTTTTATCATATAACTTGGTAGATTCCATAAGTCACTAAGATCTTCATTAATATTTACTCTTGACTCCCATATGTTCTCTAGGAAAAAGAACTAGTTCCCCACTTCACTTCATTAATAGTAAATAGTACTATTTAAATGACTATCAATGTCTCACTTTTTTCTAAACTGCTTACAAATCAGAAATTTATCTACTTCGCTGTTAAAATTTGACACTTCTGATTTTAAGAACTCTTCAAAGTACATAAAGCTTTCTACACTTAACAAATGGGTGTTGCTCCTCAGTGTATCTAAAAGGACTGCTAAACATAGTCTGGTGTTTTGTAAGACAGGCTCTAGATTGCTTGTGTGATTTTAGAACCTTTCCGAGCCTACTTGTTCACCTGAAAAAGTGGAGTCACCTACTGGTATTAAGATTATTCCAGAAAGCACATAAAGAAAACTCCTTAGCACAGTGATTAGTACATAGTGGTACTTATCTTCTTAGTATGTATCTGTTCATACTGCCTGGACATTATCTCTTTTGAGATACTTTGTAAATGTCGAAGCAGTAACAGCTTTCACATCCAAGATATTTCTAATTAAAATCAGTTCCTGAAGTAAATACAGACATCAGAATTCTGAATTCATAAAGCTCAAACATCACACAGGAGGTCAAATTGCATTCCGTGAGCACGGGGTGGGGACTGAAAAGGAAAGACAACAGAGACCCAGAGTGGCCATCTTTGATGCCGAAAACTGTAGCGCTGTACAAGTACAACTCTATTCAACTCCAGCAAGACTTCCAGCAGCGTAAGATCCTCAGCTTTTCTTAAAGTGCTTAACTGAGAAAGGTCAACGCTGCCTGGAAAATAAATTTTCTCATCAACCCCCCCCACCCCAACACTACCTTAAGATAGGCTCCTGACCTTCACCTTTTCTTTTGCAGCGTTTACTTCAAAGGGCTTGCAACTGTACAGATGCATACCTTGCAGCTCAGAAGCTCAAGGCACGGAGGCAATTCCTTTGAAATATAATCATCAGCCAGGCAGGATAGGGCCTCTTTCTCCCAGTCTTTGCGGGCGAAGAGAACCCTAACTTTGCTACCTGGGAGCTAGCAGATACAACCGACTAATCGCACTTACACTGGCTCCTCTTCTTTCCTTAAAACGCCCACATTGCCTCTGAACAAATTGGTACGGAGCTCGGCGCGTTCCCGTCAGTTGTTACCAAGATCTGTTCTCAGCTCTTTTATCTAAAGTCGGGCTGTTTTCATGTCTTACACAACCTGAAGCGCCTGGAAAGGCAGAGGCCTTGGGCTTTTTGTTTTGGTTTTGCGGAGAACACAAAAATAAGTGAGCGGCTGCTAAACAAAACGCACTGGGAACGTCCTGCACGCTCAGCAGCCGGCCAAACGCTCGCGGGGAGTGCAAAATCAAGAGCTGCGTTTATTAAGCACTGTGGGGGTCCCCGCCATCAACCCACTCCTCAAGGAGCCTTTCTGCACTTACCCCACGGAGGGCTGGAAAGGCCTGGCCAGCTTTGCTGGAATTTCCGCTGCAGCAACTCCCAACAGTTTCGGAGTAGTCCCCGGGACGCCGGCCACAGCGGAACCACCATCAACATTACCCCCGCCATACTCCCCGCCGGAAGACTGAGTCCACTGGGCAGCAGCTGGGTCCCGCCCCTTCTTTGAGCATGCGCACAGGTCCAGAACAGGGCAAATCTGGCTTCTGAAACTTTAACTCCCAAAATTCCTCCGGAGCGGCTCTGACTTTCTCCTCCAATCAGAGAGAAAGGAGAGCGCGGGGAAAGGAAGTGAAAATAAACTGTCCGTAGTGCGCATGTGTGCGGCTGTGCTTGAGCTCTCCGCGCAAAGATGGCGGAACGCGGTTACAGCTTTTCGCTGACAACCTTCAGGTATGAAGGGACCCTCAAAGTACCTTGGCGTAGCAAAGGTTGTAGGAGCTCACCCAACTCTGCTTTGTGCGTCCTTGCTTTTGGCTTTGTGCTTTCCGAGAGTCCCGGAGGGAATGGCGATGGGAAATGAAGCTTTGCATAGTCATTAGTAGGGCCGACTCCAGGCCAGGGAGCGCGGGTCCCTGAGATTAGGGCGAATTGGGGGCTAAGTTCCAGGGGGACTCCAGGCGGTCATTCGCCTTCGCCCTGTAGACTGAAGAAAAAGGCACTTTTGTACCAGTTCTCTCCAGATGGCCCGTTCAGAATTCGGGATTTCTTTCCTGTCCCAAGTAGGCCTGATGGGGGCGGAAGCTTCTGAAGCTTGGAGTCAATAAGTGGAGCCACATATTTTGTTTTAAATCATAGGTTTATTAGGTTGGGGTGCTGGTCTCCCTTTGGACTCTTGAAACTTTCCGCTTTCAGTTTCTCCGAGGCCCCTGATAGAAGCACGAGGACTGAAAAACGAAAGCACTGATAGGTTTTTGTGGACCCAAACCGTTAGATTATGATATATGTTAAATCCTTTTTTAATCTTCGAATGGAGGTATGCTTTCAAAAGATTTTAGGCTTTCTATTGTAGAACAGGAAGTTAAAGTAATAAGTATACTTTTCAAAATACAGTTGACATAAACAGTTACACCCAGTGTAAGAAAATTACTGAAAAAAATTGTTAAATCCACTAGGAAAGGTTTCTAGTTTGACCATTTTCTCAAGGATCGTTAATGCCAGTTTGTTGTCCTATTTGAACACTGGAGACAGATGGGATCTCACTTGTTGAGTACTTTCTGTTTAGGTGCAACTTGACCCACTCCTTTGATTTCCACTACCATCTATGATGAATGGTGTGTCAGCCTGTTACAGATGAACTAGCCACTGCTCAGACAAATAACTTGACCAACGTTATCCATTTAAGTAGCTGAGTTGACATTCAAATTGAGGTTTTTTTTTTTTTGATGACAAAAGTTAAAACTTTCCGTTACATCATGTTGTCTTTATGAAATCAGAAGTGCCTCCCTCTGGACAACTTTTCAATAAGAACTAAGGACATATGAATTTTTTGTAACCTTTGAATGAAATGTATTTAATTGTGCTATATAGAGTCTCCCATACAGTGACAGAAAAACAATTGTGCAAGGTAGTCACAGTTTGAAAAAAGCAAAAATGTCTCTTTATTTCTCAGAAAATGTAAACTTATTAGAGCTGAAAACAGAACAATCATTAATGGACACTGAGTTTTTATAACTAACTTTTTTAACATGATGGTTTCAACTCTTAGACAAAAAAAGAAAACTTTCTGTGTTCTTGTATCAGAATTAAGCTACACTGGGGCAAGTGACTAGACATCAGAAAGGTGTTCTTGTGGCCTACATTAGTTGAGGTTATTAACAATAGATGAGCAGATTGGTACCTACTAATGAATTCTGGAAAATGCTTTTTTCTTATTCAAGCATTTTATTTAAAGCCAGGGATTTAGCTCAGTGGTGCCTCCTGCCATGAAAGCTCAAGGTCTTGAGTTCGATCTCCAGTACAAAAAAAAATCCAAACAACCAACCAACCAACAAAACAAAGTGTCAGTAAGAATTTTATTTAAAAAGGATGAAAGAAGGGGCATAACTGTCAGGAAAGGACCATGCTTAGGGGAGATTTGTGAGACTGGAAGATGAAAATAAGCCAGCTATTAAAAAATACAGAAGTAGAGAGAATCATTGACAGTGAGTGGACTGTAAGCAAGGAGATAATACAGTTGAGTGCCTGTAAGATGAGTAATATTTAAATGATCCAGGACATTATTACAAGATTTAGGTGCGAGTTACGTACAAAGGTGACTGGCTGGAGGTGAGTAAGGAAAACTAATAGTTAGAAGTCTGTTCATTTATCCCAAGAAGAGATAGTAGTGCTTTAGAGTGGGTTAGTGGCATTAAAGACCAGAAAAGATATTTGAATGTTCAGCATACACAGGTTAGTGAGCTTAACATACACAGAATGATATAATAATACAGGCATGGACAGATAATGGGAGTGGAGAAAGTAAATTTTCATGAGTTTTTAAATATTCCTCACAGGTCTGTGAACTAAGTATTGAACAGAATTGAAAGCTGAGTAGACTCAGAAGGTCAATTGAAACAGTGACTATTAAAGAAACAAAATTCAGCCTTTTGTTTTGGTACGGGGGATTGAACTCAGGACCTTGTGCTTGCCAGGCAGGTGCTTTGCCACTGAGCTACATCCCCCAGCCCCAGCCTAACTTTTAGAATCTGAGTAATTACTGATGTTTTCTTCTCTGGTCAGCTAATTTTGTTGTCTTTAAGTTGCTGCTCTTACTTTTATTTTTAAAATCAGTCTAAATGTATCTTTATCCAAAAAACTGTGGATTTTTTGTTACTAGGTTATATTCTAGAATCTTCAAATAATTGAAGTATGATGAGCTTTAGCCAAAGAGGAAGAAGTACAGGACATCAGAGGCATGATTGTGTGGCATTTGGTCTTGTCTGAGAGGTCAGGCAGCTTCCCTAATGACATGGCATAGCTTACTAAGGACAGCAGGATGGCCAGAAAAGAGTTCACCAGGCAATAGAGGAATGGGTTTCAGACAGAGGATTTCACTTATCAGAAGAGTTTCTGAGGTTTGAGACTAGTCTGTATAAATGGATAAGGTGGGATGATATGATTTAAGATTAGAGTGACACATTATAATGGTATGAAATTAAAACAGTTGGCTTAAAATTTAAGATTATCTTTTTAGTAGTAGACAGGAGATATGGATCTAGCTATGTGGAAATTATTATTATTTTTTTCTTTATAAAATGAGTTTAGTTTGTGATGTTTATGGTCATTCTAACTGAATGAGTAGTGTAAAATAAAGTGTGACCTTAAAGGCCAATTTGGCACTGATATTCAGCTACCAAACCAGTGGGACTGGATCTCTTAAGAATGGTTCCTAGAATTAGGAATCAAACATAATACAAAAGTAAAGTACAGTAGTACCTCAGTTCATGAACTTAATTCTCTCCTCGATTCTGGTCACAAACCAAACTACAGGAGAACCTGATCAGATTTTTCTATAAAGTCAACACTGAGCCTAACCATGGAATTTAATTTGGTTTTTGTCCAACTCAAATTTGTGAATGCAATTGTGGAATCAAGTTTGTGAACCAAGGTACCATTATACTGAGAATACTTTGTTGTGAATAATAAGCTAGGTCCTATGCCTTAGGTGCTATCTGCTTTCTAAAAAAGATGCACATGGAAAACATCTTATTTTGATTTTGAGAGACATATATGTATTCTTAATAATAATATTTTTCAGTATTCTTGCTAATTTTGTGCCAGAAACTTTTTATAGGCATCATTTTATTAATCATCACAATGATTATCCTCATTTTATAGATAAGCAGACATATACTGAAAGGTCACATGATTTTCCAAAACTTACTGGATTGGTAAATGGTAAAAGAGGCACTAATAGTAATGCTGATTTAAGTGGCAGATGCAAGACAATTGAAGGAGAGAGAAGAGGTGCTTCATCAGGAGTGTTCAAATTGCCTTAGTTTATGCAGTTTGATGTATTTATTTATTTAATTTTTTTGGTACCGGGGATAGAACTCAGGTCCTTGTGCTTGCACCTGGCAGGTGCCGGAACCACTGAGCTAAATCTCCCGCCCAAATTGCCTTAGTTTATGAATGAACAACTTCATGACAGATTTCAAAACCCAGTGTTCCATTGGACTGACACATCTGCCCTTTCTCAGAAATGTCCAACACTAAATTCTTGAAAATATGTGACCTTCACACATAGCTGTGTTTCTTTTCAGCCCGTCTGGTAAACTTGTCCAGATTGAATATGCATTGGCTGCTGTAGCTGGAGGAGCCCCTTCTGTGGGAATTAAAGGTAAGGAAGTGTTTCATCCCTTCAGATGTTTCTTAGACATTATCCTAATTTTTTTAATTTAGTAATTTATAACTAATAGCTATGGCAGCATAATTTTTAGCAGTACTTTTTGGTAGCATATTTTGAATTTTAAAGAAAATAGTAAGTTTATGAAGTGATTACAGTTTCTTTTCAGAGTAAATTTAGTCCGTTTATGTGTTAGTGTGGTAGCCTACAAATAGTTCTCATTCAGAAAATTGAATATTCTTTCATTTTTTCCACTGTTTATCACTGTCCCCTGGCTGTTTTTATCCTTCTTATATATCTTTTTAAAAGGCTAATTATAAAACAGAGTCTAAGATACCATAAAGTGTTTCATTTCCTAGTTTTTTTTTAAAGGATCTGCATTTATTTTAAATTTTTTATGTTAAAAGAAAAGTTGAGGGGCTGGGGATTTAGCTCAGTGGCACCACACCTGCCTTGCAAGTGCAAGGTCCTGAGTTTGATCCTGGTACTGGGGAGTGGAAAACAAAACAAAACAGTTGATCAAGTTGGCAGAAATTCATTAGTTAAAAACCTGTGAAGTTGCAGGTATTCTGGAGTACTTTAAGAGAGGTTGTGTAATACCATTAGCTGCAGGGATTTTTTTTTTAGTGCAATGTAAATGACCACTGAGGATAAAATGGATTTTGCCATTCCTTAGGTAATTTTCATACAGGAATCCTGAGGAAAAGGTTTTACAAATTACAGAATAGTGTTTTTAATAATCCATAATTAAAAAGCTGTTGAAGTAGTGTCTTTTAAATGATTAAATGTGGAGGACTTTTTTCTTCTTTAAGCTGCAAATGGTGTGGTATTAGCAACTGAGAAGAAACAAAAGTCTATTCTGTATGATGAGCGAAGTGTACACAAAGTGGAGCCAATTACCAAGCACATAGGTTTGGTGTACAGCGGAATGGGCCCAGATTACAGGTATTTTATGTTATATATGTAGTTTTTCACCATCTTACGAATTGATTGTAATCTGTACTTTAAGGAGAAAAGTCATTAGCAACTGGATTGGGTTACTTTAAGGAACTCGGTACCCCTCTTTTTAATAAAGGAGATAAATGCATACTTGTTTCTCTTACTTGTTTAGTGGACTTTCCCTTCTGATAATTGTCCTCTTCTACCATCTAAGAATTGAGCATTTGGTATTCTGTAATGCACTTTTAAAATGATCAAAGCAATACATGTTACAATTAGTGATTTTTTAAAAAATATCAGGTGGCAAAAGAAATCATTACCATCCAGAGTTAACCTCATTATTGTTTCTTCTGTTCTTGTCAAAGGATCAAAATTCTCAAAGGCCACTGGATGTTACAGAGTGACAGCCAGCTGGGATGTAGATGCTCGTAGAATCACTGCCTTTGTATTTCGCCAGCAAGTTGAAAGTGACTGGTAGCTTGCAATATTTGTCAGTCTTTAATACTCATGATTTTTTTGTTTTGTTTTGTTTTTTGTATTTTGAGACAGGGTCTCACTATGTAGTTGAGACTGACCTGGAACTCGCTATGTAGCCCAGGCTGGTCTCGAACTCACAGTGATCCTCCTGCCTCAGCCTCCCGAGTGCTGGGATTATAGGCGTGTGCCACCATGCATGATTTTTGTCGAGATCAAGATAAAGCCAACTTTTCACTTTAATGGGTCACAAAAACCAACAGGGTCCCTGGAATGTAATCAGCCTCCACCATCTTGGGTGGGGTGCCAGCTGTGTGGAAGGGACACTGCCACTGTGCCACCACTGGCAGAGTAAATCTAGGCAAGTATCACACAGAGGGCTAATGTGTTTCTTTCAGATCTGTAATACATGAGCAGGTAAAGATAAATCCTGTATGTCCTGCTAATCTATTTATTGGTATATCCTTAATATCTTTTGCCAATATTTATACTTCAAGTTAAAAATAATATTTTATTCTTTCTTAATCTCTAAAGAGCACTCTGGGGTGTAGGCAGTCTGCAGAGAAGATAGAGGCAGAGAAAAATATATCCTAGGATTGTGTTCATATGTGTATTGTGAATGTTAACCTGGTGAAACAAAAAGCTGTTCTGGGCATAAAAAGTGCATTCTTGGAGAATCCATGTAGAGAAAGAAACTTCACCTTTTTTTACTAGGTATTCTAGTTCCTGCTTTTCTTCCTTTTGCCTTGTTCTTGTCTTGTCTCCTATTGGTCAGCTCCTCTGATATTTTGATATGTTCTTCTAATCATTTGGATGGCAGAGTAAGACTGACTGACCAACAGCTGTCTTTAAGATAACATACGCTTATAGAAAAAGAATAGGTCTTCAAGTAGTAGAGTGTTTGAATTTCAACTGACATTTCCATCTTCTCTGTGTGCTAGAGTGCTTGTGCACAGAGCTCGGAAACTGGCCCAGCAGTACTACCTTGTTTACCAGGAGCCCATACCCACAGCCCAGCTGGTACAGAGAGTAGCTTCTGTGATGCAGGAGTACACCCAGTCAGGGTAAGGTGCTTTTATTATTTGAAGTGTCATGAATTAGGAGGGGAAAAAATCATTTTAAAAAGGTGAGTTTTTAGGAGGAGACTTAACATTCCTGCATTTGTATAATAAATAGTGACAATCACTGTGTTGAATGTTTCTGTTTTTAACTGGACATAGAATATTTTCTTAGGGAAAAAGTGTGAATGCTTTCTCATTCACACTATAGTAGAAAGCTTGTAGATATGAGTTATTTTTGCCAGTGATTAACATACTTATGTTTGGGCAATCTGCACTATTACCTTATCTTTCCAACCAGAAATGATTTGGAGCACATGGTGAAAGCAGACATTGTATTGATTTTAATTCCAGTGTTTTTAAGTTTGAGTTTAAGGTAGCATAAACATAGTTGTTGATATGTAAACCTGGGAGAGTCCATGCTAGCTGAAAATTGTATTTATTAGGGCACTGAATGTTACTCCACACTTAGTGGCTCCATTCTCTTAACTCTGACACTTGAGGCTGGGTCCTTTACAGAAGAGGTTTATTTAGCTCACAGTTCTGGAGGCCTGACAATGTGGCGCTGGCGTGATGAAGGCCTTCTGGCAGGTAGCACTGCATGGCTAGACCTCTTGCAAGACAGTTTGTATGTTGAGAAGGGAAGCAAGTGTGGGCAGAATGGCTTGCTCCTTTGTAACACTCTCAGGACAAGTAATCCATTCTGGCAAGACAGCCTACTGAGAAACCAGCAGCAGTCCTTCCCAGTGATGGTGTCCTGTGACGACAGGGCCTTTCACTGGGTCCCCCTCTTAAAAACTTAGTACTTCTTAGCATCATTGGGTCAGGAACCAGCTTCTGCACATGAGCCTTGGGGAACACCATATCCAGATGTGGCTCCACATAATCCAGAATTGCTCTTCCTTACTGCCTTAAAGAAAATTCATTTTCAGTTGACCCATTTAGAAAAGAGCTAAGTACTTTTTAATAAACTTAAGTAAAATTCAGTTTACTTGATAACTTGCTTTACTTGAAAGTACTGATAGATTTGCACTTGAGGATGATTTTTAACACCACAAAGATACCAAGTGATTGTCATTTTTCTTTCTGCAGTGGTGTTCGTCCATTTGGCGTTTCTTTACTTATTTGTGGTTGGAATGAGGGACGACCGTATTTATTTCAGTCAGACCCATCTGTAAGTATTATTTGATATATATGACAGTGTTTTAAAAATTGCTCTTTATCTAATGAAAATGGAAGCCATGCAAATTTAAATTTAACAATTTCCTCCTTTTCATTTGGACTTTAGGATATGTAAGGTAGCTACAAACTGCATAAAATTTGCCCTCTTATTCTGTCATGTTCCATAATGCCACATCAGTGACTTGTTGAAATAGTTGTTGTCCAATCTCATAAAATCTATAGAATTTTGTTACTTTGGAAAATACTGCAATTAAAGATGTGGATCTGGAAGAGATTGTTGTAATTTTTCTCAGTGTCTTTCATTCAGTGGTTTACAAAATGACTGTTTAACCAATATCTTCAGTGAGTTGTGGGCTCTAAGACAGGAGCTTGGGATCTGGGTAAGAAGGTGTTTCTAGAGAAAATACCACTATACAGCTGTCCTCTTGCTGTGAGGAGAACATTCATCTTTCATTGTGGATTATTAGATAACGAACCACAAGGTCACTCAGTGTAAATCTAACGACTTAACCCTACAATGTTAAAAGGCAAAAGAAAAATGTTTGGGCTGTTACTTAAATCAGAAAAGTAAGTATTTTGGGAACTGTTGAAAGTTTTGTTACCCCGTCTCTGATCTTCTGAAGCTAAATGACAAGTCCCCCTCCATTGCTTTCCAGTGGGTTGCAAAAGCTGCTGTCTATAAAGTTATGTTCATCTTTGGCCTGTTTCTTGTATTTAGAAGGCAACTATGTCTTTTAATATATTTGATATGTTTTCATTAGGATTCTTTTCTACGTGCATGTGTATGTTTTTCTTTTTTCCTTTTTTTGTACCAGGGATCACACTCAGTACCTTGAGGCCATGTTACATGTGACATTGCTTCTGCTTTCATTTTACCTCACATTATAAAATATCAGAACCTTTGAATGTTTTAAACGAAAAGCTGCTTTTTTAATGTATTCAGTAATGATGATGGATTGATCACTCGTTTTCAAATTTATATGACTAGATTTTTAAGTTCATTGATTGTTTGCTGTATGTTAACCTTAGTTTCCTTTTCCTGGGTTTTGAACAATTTATGTATAGTCTAAAGTTGCATCATCAGCTTGACAAGTTTTGATCTTTGTAAATTCCTTAGGAAACCATCATCACCCTCAAGATACCAAACTTCTTAGCTTTCAGACTCCTTCATGTCTGTCATCCATTCCTCTTAACCTTTTAAAAAATACCCTGTGATATTTCCATTCCATCCCAGTAAATATTTATGACCTTAGAAGTTAGGGAACAATTGTAGAGTAAAAAAGCAAAAGATAAAGCATATGGTTGTATTAATGTTTTTGAATATATGGCTCTTTTCCTTCATGATTAGGGAGCTTACTTTGCCTGGAAGGCCACAGCAATGGGAAAGAACTACGTGAATGGAAAAACTTTCCTTGAGAAAAGGTAGGCTCACTGTAACTGGATTCATTGACAAACTCACTTTACAGTTTTCAGCACTATTAACTTAGTCATTTCATGAATCTGAACAAATTTGTTGTATTACTCTGTATTTGAGCTTAGTTACAGGCAAACAAAACTTGTCAACATCCTGGCATCCTAAACTTCAGTATCAAAAGGTTATTTATGTCTAAAGGACATCTTTTTCTGCATTCTTCTGGTCGTATCCTAAGTATTTTATTTTGTTTTATTTCATTTTCCCTCCCATTTAAAAAAACAGAAGAACAATATATTTAGGGTAGAAAAAGTTTTAAGTGATTTAATGATAATTACAGTAAAAATTGGAGAACCAAATACCTGGTGTTGAGCAGATTAATACATGATGGAGTGGTGGAGCACTGTAAGGTCTGCTGTCCTCTGAGCACAGCAGGCTGCTCTCACCTATCCCAGCTGTACTCCAGACTCACTGTTATGCAGTCCTCCAACAGTGGCCTGCCTTTGAACAGGAAGATTGTGTAATTGGCTTGGACAGATGAGCCTTCCCTACATTCTTCATATAATATTAATATTAAGGTTGTTAAAGATGAGTGATAACCATGGGATCATAAAGCATTTTTCTTTAATTTTTACTTATTAGTGAGTCTTCCAAATATTTCACATGTTGTAACATATGATAGGTTATAAGGACAAACAAGATTTTAGCAAAGGTCTGGGTTTTTGCTTTGCTTTTAAAAATCATTATGATGTGTGCTGCTGCCATACTAATTACTTAAGTGCATTACTACTTATGAAGCTTCCTAAAATAAATTCATTTTAGGATTATATTCTTTCCATAATGTTTAGGATTAATTCCTAAATCATAGTTTCCTATTTGTGGACATGTGTCTCAGTGAAGGGGTTTAGAGGAATTAATGTATAATTTAATGTTTTAAGAATTCCTTAGATTTTTAGAAAACCTTAATGCTGTTGCTGTCATTGTGTAGTCATAAGGAATGTAAACAGTACCATAAATTAATTTTTAAAAAATATCTTTAGATACAATGAAGATTTGGAGCTTGAAGATGCCATTCATACAGCCATCTTAACCCTAAAGGTTAGCTAAGTGTCTACCAACTGGATTTACGGTTTTCTGATTGAATGTTTGGAAAGTTGACTTTTTTCCTCCCTTGCCCACCAGGAGAGCTTTGAAGGGCAGATGACAGAAGATAACATAGAGGTTGGCATCTGCAATGAAGCTGGTTTCCGAAGGCTCACTCCGACGGAAGTTAAGGACTACTTGGCTGCCATTGCATAATAATGAAGTGACTGAGTGACCTGAAATTTCAGATACTCTACTTAAACATGTTTAAAGTATGTTTTGTTTTGCAGACTTTTTGCATACTTATTTCTACATGGTTTAATGGACTGATGTTTTTAAAATGACATAAATCATAATAAACTGTTAAATCCAACTTCCAGGTTTTTAGGAGTTAGTAAAATTTTAACATTTTATGAGAGATTTTTAACATGAACATTTTATTTCCTGCTATTCCTTACAGCTGATTTCTAGAAACTATGCTGTAAGGCAGAATAACGAAGTTACTCTTCCATTTTATGCACTTTAGCTCAGTCAGGCACCACCCCATTTTATAGCAGATGCTTCCTGTGTTTTTGTAAAGCACAATGTGGGTTTTGGTAAACTGCATTTAGAGTGGAGAGAATCTGCAGCCTCATAGATCCATGGGACACAAGTACAGGTGTTGAGTACATTGAGGTGTGGGATCAGGGAGATCCTGGGGAAGTGGTAGTGAACCTATACCACGTGTGCCACCGTGGGCTGTTTGTTACCATTGAAAGCTCTAAAAGGTTTCCTGTCACTGTCGTAGAGTGTCTGTTGCGACTATACTGGAGCTGTGGGAGTCAAGCCACACAGGTCTCCTGGGGGAGACGTATTTTATAAGTAAATAAACCACGGTCTGCTTCTCCTGTTGGTTTCTCTCACGAGTAGGTAAGAAATATTTTTAAAAACTCTTACATTACTTTTTAGTAGACGTTTTTAATTCAAAGGTGCACATAAGTGCTGAGAATAAAACACTAATCCTAAGTATCAGAACTGACCTAAGTCTCGCCCTCACCAATCTTGTGGTCAGAGCCTGTGCTTTAAGGTTCTTAGAAGAAAGCAAATTGAGTGTTCACATATAAGAGTTTTGTTTCTTTGGATTTTTTTTAAGGCCTCTTCAGAAAAGGAAATCAAATCATTGATCTAGTTCACAAAACAGAGTTCATGACTATCATTATTAGTCTTAACAACACGAAGAGGGAGTAGGCAATTCCAGGATTTAAATGTAGTTAAAGGGCCTTTAAGGCTCAGCTAAGTTTAGGGAAAGAGCCTTACCTAAGAGTTTTTTATTTTATTTTTTATTTTTTTTTAAATTTTTTTATGTTTTGATTTTGGTACCAGGGATCGAACTTGGGTCCTTGTGCTTGCAAGGCAGGCGCTGGAACCACTGAGCTAAATCCCTGGCCCCCTAAGAGCATTTTTTTCTCATTGTGTATCTAGTCTTATACTTAATTTGTTCATTTTATTATTAGTTTTTTCTTTTATTGCTAAGAGCATTTTTAACAGTTTGCAGTTCTGCTACTTCTTTCGCAGCACCTATGTCCTTTTAGGGTGGAGGAAGCATCCTAGGAGATGGGCTGTGGCAACTTGGCATCTTGCTTGACAATGTCTGTCTTGAAGACCTTGTCTACTAATCTCGTCTATGAGCTCTAGGTCTATTTTGATTCCAGCACACTAGAAAGTGAATATAGTAGTGAAGGAATGACTTTGAAAGTTAATTATGTCAGAGGGCTTTTTATTTAGTTTTTGACTAAATTTCATAAAGCAAGTGTAAAGTCTGGCATGATTTGTAGTTAAGTACCCTATTAGCTGCCCTTGAGTTTACTTAGGCCCTGTCTAGTTCTAGTGTTAACAAACCAGAGGAATCCCAAATTTGTACAAATCAAAGAAGGGAAAAGCAAAAATACCTAAATTTAAGGCAAAAGGAAAATGCTTGTATGTTTTTACTGAGTGCCAATAATTTATCCTACAGAATAAAAGGAAAAGTTGGCTGAAGAGTATTAGATCCAGGTTTAGTTTTCTGCCTCCTGCTCCAAAAAGTTCAGTTCCAATTGAGCTGCTTTGTGCTCAGTTTATTCTTTTCATTGTTCTTTACTATTAAGCTGTTCCTATTTGTCCAGTTCTTGGGAGACTCATCTAAGTATTATAACGCTTCTAATGTTCTCAGACCCCCTACTTTGGGTTCAGTTTGTATCTTAAAAACTTTTATCTTCACGTTGTTTCAGCCTTTCCCCGTCCCAGTTCCTTATTGAACCATGGATTTACAGTTATGAAACAGTTATTAGTGGAGAAACAGAAATGTTTAAAATTCACATGGGCAAGAGAGGAGGGATCAAGAAGGACTAATACAGAGCTTATGATTACTGAGTGCTAAAGTATTGCGCGTTAGTAAAGGAACATCAGGAATTTTCTTGTGTTGCCCAATTGTTTTTATGGAAGGAATCCACTAACTGTATAACCTCATCTCTATACAAGATTCCCCTTGCCACTGTAGGGGAATTTTCTGACATCCCACGATAAGAACAGCAAACATATTTTGTGATTTCCAAGAACACAGAGAAGCTGGTCAGCTCTTGGATTAGAATCCTGATTCCTGAAAAGCATTCCCAGGGTCCTGCGTCAGTGTCGTTTTGGTTCTTTGACTTAGCACCCTGCCCTGCACCCTGTTTAGGGAGCTAGCAGTAGCTGGCAGTCAAGTGAAGGATAACTCGCTACGCATTAGCATGTATTTAAAATGAAGTAACACTTTATCAGAGATGCTCTGAGTTCTCCCTCCTTTTAGGTTTTCCATTGGTTGCTTCCGTCACACCATACTTCAAAATAATAGGATAATAATGGTTTGTGGATTCCTGAAGTGTAGTCCCTCTGTTGACATTCTACTCTGTCAGATAATGGAGAGTTCTCCTATCACTGTCACAGCCCCTTTCCCTGCCTCAGTTTACTCAGTTAATCATTCTTAGTTTAAGAGGTTTTTTTTCTGACTATAAGTATACTTTGACTCGCCTTGTAACTTTCATAGCTTATATTGCTTCACTGGGGTTTTTGTTTTGTTTTCCTGTGTAACTTTCCCTCAAGTTCTTGCCAGCTTCCCCCAAGAAAACTAGAAAACCCTCTGCATATTGTTTTCATGGCCAGCAAATGTGTTTAAGCTATAACATTTCTCCCCTCCACACTTCCTAGAAGTTTGTCTCCCTCTACCAGCCCAGGGCAATCAATTGCTTGAAACTATGCTTAGTCTCTCAGTTGGCTGGGTTCAAAAATTCTAGGTTAAAAATAAATTACCTCCACATTTTGAAAGCATTATGCCCTTCTCTATTCTAGTATTGTTGTTGATGGAAGCCTAATGCTATTGTGTACGTGATACCAAATCCTTTGTTTATGATTTCCCTCTCTGTGGCTCTTAGGTTTTCTTTTGTCTGCAGTGTTCTGAAGTTTCACAATGAATTTTCATTTTTTGGTTCTAAAACTTCTGTTAATTGGATACTAGACCTTTTTTATTTTGACTTTTATCTATTCTAGTATATTTTTTTTCCAATTTATTTTAAATTTGTGATTTTTGGGGGAATATTTTAAATTTTTTCGTTTTATGAGTACATGTTTGCAGTACATAATGATTACATTCATTGTGGGGAACTGGTACATGTACATAACATCTCAACTGACTTTTGGAGATACTCTTTGCTTTTGAGAACTGTTGTTCTCGCCATCTTTCAAAAAGAAATCCTTGCTTTATGGCCAAAATTATTTTTCAATTGAAGGGTGCTAGTTACAAGATACATTTTTGCATTTCCTTACAAATGTTTGGAAGCCTTTGTGAATGAGGTCTGCCCTACTTCCTGGGGGATGCTAAATGTCAGATTTCTCTGGGGTCCTTGATTTGCTTAATTTCTCTTCAGAAAAATAGTATTTAGGTGGGAGGGGGTGCCTGCATTCCTGGAGGGGCAGAGGCCCCCATTCAGTAGAAAAACAGTATTTTTGGTGGCACCTCTTCCCATCTTTTTTCTGAAACCACTGGCTCCCTGTCTTCAGAATTCAAGTTTAGTTTTCTGACCCAGGAAGGGGGAGGAGTGAGGAATGGCCCACCTGCAGTTGGTAGGAGAGAGGACCTCAGTGTTCCTCAGGCCAACTTCAATCCTGTTTCCCACCTTTTCAGGCTGTGGAAGTTGTAAAGCCCTTATCTTGTGAATCACTTCAACTCACTGGCTTAATAATCCCTTCTGCAGGCAGACACTCTTTCAGCTCTGCTGACTTTTTTCCATTTACAGAGAGTTTGCCTGGGATTAAGTAATTTATCTGTGGCTCACTTACCTATAAATACTATGTGTTGATGTTTAGATAGGGAAGATTGAATAATAAGAGTAGAACACTTAGAATTGTACGTGTTGTAGCCAGGTGGGCATGGTGGCACACGTCTACAATCCCAGCACTCAGGAAGCTGAGACAGGAGGATTGCTTCGAGTTCGATCAGTCTGTGCTACATAGTAAGTTCCAGGTCAGTTTCTACTACATAATGAGACCCTGTCTTTAAAAAAAAAAAAAACTGTACCTGTCGCAGCACTGAGTTACTGCTGTCTTCTGAAAGTGTTGTCTGTCTTGTCTTTGGTATTACCTCTTTTTGTTGTTTTGGGAAAAAGTTTTTTTTTTTTCCCCCCTTTCACATTATTCCTGTCATTTAAGTAGGGTGTGGAGAAGGAGCAGAATAGTTGGGATTAATTTTGACGGGAAGTCTTAATATTTAGAATTAGTTTACATTGTCAAATTCAATAATTCTGGATGGCTTTGTCTTTGTTTTTTGGTTTTGTTTTTGTTTTTGGTACCAGGAATCAAATTCTGTATCTTGTGCTTGCCAGGCAGGCGGTGGCACCACTGAGCCAAATCCCTGGCCCCTCTGGATGGCTTTGGACAATACCCTCTTCAGTATGGCAGCACATCCTCTGTAACAGCACACTTTTGAGGGGCTGGAGGGGGCCACAGGGCCTTCTCACAAAGCAACATCCCCAGCTTTTTTTTGAGATGGGTCTAAGGTGCCAGCCTGAGCTGGAACTTCTGATCTTCCTGCCTCATCCAGAGTGCTAGAATTACAGGCATGCGCTACCACGTCTTGCAACAGCACACTTTATGTGGGGATCCCTGGGTAGTGGAGTGGAACCTCCTGTGGGCTTTGCCCCACCCCCCCCGGGTTAAATTGGCACCCTGTCCCCACCCTCTCTCCTGATGCTGGGAAACTAGTCCCCGCAGGTGAAAGACTGAGGAAAGGGGGGGTTGCCCTCAGTAAATATGGCTGCTGCACTGGCGTCAGCAACACCCCTCGGGGCGCACTGTCGCCTGGGAATTGCGGGCTCGGCGTCACCCTGCGCAGGGTCACGTGACACTAGAGGCGCCGGAGGCGGTGAGTTTGCTCTGTCAGAGCGGCACCGGCGCCAAATGAGGCGGTCTCTGCCGGGGTGAGGGCTTCAGGGGTCCCGGCTCCGTGTGCCCTCGCCGCCCGCTCACGCTCGCGGTCCTGGGCGCTGCCGGTGAGAAGCC